GTGTCAGAGGTTTTTTCTCTTTATTTTTATTTTCAGTGAAGTAGTGTTGCGTTTTGTATAAAGGTAAACTTACAACTTGTATAAAATGCGAAGGAGTCTCTAAATTAACTTGAGTATTTTTGAGCAAAAATTCCTCCGGGGGTTGGAAGGGTTATGTGATCGGTGAATGAGGGAGTTATGCATGTGCGCGTGTCACGCCAATCACAGTGCGAGTTGTATCAAAAAACGAATCAAACTGCCTGTTAGAAAATAAGATGGTATCTACATTAATCTGGAGATGTGTCAGATGACTGCAGTTTTTTCAGTCAAACATTTTATGGCTTACTACTTAGCTATCTTACCATGACCAATGTAACAACGCAACCAAAAAAAACTTGTTAAATTAACCAAATCATTACTGTACCATGAATGCTTCTATCTCCGACACTTCACACAAAAAGTTAACTCTTGCACGCCTTGCGTGCCTATGTTTACTAGATAGCCAACAATGCAACAATAATGACCTACCAACTGAAGGTATGTGAGCATTTGGCATTGGGAGGCGGAATGTAAATCCCTGCTGCGGAAGATTCATACCAAACCCACAACTCGCTGGTCCATGGCCTTTAGGTGTTGACGCTAATTGCATAATGAATGTGTCATTCATATTGCAGTCTCTCATTGGTCTGTTGTGCATCTGTGATGCTTGGCCACCATACGATGTTACAGCAGGTGATTGGGGTTCATTCACATTACAACAGCTGATTGCAGAGTTGTGGTTTTCAATTGGACTGTATCCTGAGCAGTTCTGTTCCGGTTTGATCTTGGGGGGATATGGGACCATAGGAGAGTGAATAACACTGGACCCTGACATCAAATTAATTCGAACAGAAATCAAGCCAAGAATCACTTCAAATGTGCAGGATGTTTACCCTTTCCACTAATGCATGGAAATGATGGACAACATGACTTAATTCTCACTCTTTTAAGATTCTTTTTATGATGACTTAAAAATTTTACATATGCTCATTGGTCAAATGAACCTTTTTGGCGATACGGCGGCCATTTTTAATTCCATCGTTTCAAATAAATATTATGGGATGATTAGGGGGTAAATGCATACTAATTTGCCCCCTGAGCAACCCCTAATAGCTATATGAAATGATAGAATTCAAAATGGCCGCTATATCGCTGAATAGGTCCATTGTAGACACATAGGTTATCTGGTCAGAGCACACATCACAGATCAGATAAATAAAATTTGTACATTAGCTTCAATAACAGTAAATTCAGTTATTTTTCAAGTCCTAGGATTTCAAATTTCATTGGTAACACTTTCTCGATTCCGTGCCCAGTGATTGTGGGAAACGAACGGTAATGGAAATTTTTTTGACAAAATTTCACACTTGATTTGGACCCAAACAAAAGAAAACGATATAGTATTAGAGAATAGAGAAAGAAATGAAATGAACTTAACAGTTTACAGGTACTCAGTGACATGGATCTTGGCTTGGAAGTGATGTGATGTTCTCTGTAACAGTCTCGAAATCAGTACAAAATTACCTCTTCCTGAATGTTTTTTAATCATACAAAGTCAACTTTTGCACTTCTTCTTTGCAGTCACCAGTGGATACCACGTTAGCTGATGATTGTTGGGTTCAAAACCAATATTATTGTAGCTTTTCTATATCAGCCATTTGTCTGCCATCTTAAATCCGTCCCAACCAGGCATTGCACATACCGTGTGATGCACTTTGAGATTGATACAAGATGGCGAATGGGTGACATGAAACAACATTATAGTTTCATATATAATCAGAGTGCTGTAATCAAGGGAACTACTCTGGTGTTGAAAAGTAGAACAAAAAAAGAAAAACCTTTGTCAGATGAATTTTGATTGGCAAGGCTGAAGATGTCCATGGCAAATGATTTTTCGGTTCTGTTATTTCTGAATCACTGTAATGACACGGTACTGGTAAGATCATTACTGTGCAATCCTAGGGTTTGTTTTTGCAAGAATTTTGCCTTTTAGATCTACTGATCAAGAGCTTTCTTTTTCCTTGTCTATATTTTGTGGATAGTTTGTTCATTTGATTTAGTAATATGTTTCCTGTTTCCAACTATATGTCACTAAATGGCTAATAAACAAGGAGAATGGATTTGGAAGTGCACCATTCATATTAGGGTGCCAAGGCCCCATAGGCTAGAAACAAGGACTTACCAGAGTCCACATCATTCTGCCAATTAGACCCTTGGGAAGAGAAACTTGCTGGTGACTGGACATAGAGCCCTGTGCTATCTCTGTCATCATCATCACAATCTTCGTCAACTGATGAAACAGAGCTAATTGTCCGACTTCGTTTCCTGTACCTTAGGTCATATGGATCTGGTCGTGGGTGAATGTTTACTGCATTTGGAAAACGCTGTTCAAGACCTGCATCACTGTATGATGGGCTTTCCAGGTCCGATAACATAAGAGCATGGGATGAACTAACACACTTGATAGGTGCTGATGAAAAAAAAAAGAGTGTGTAAGTACATTTTTAAAGAAAATTTAAATTTTATTCACAATAATGCTAGTGCAGTAGGAAGCTTTTTCATAGAAAACAAGATTGTACTTATTAGTTAACAGAATGATGAGTCAATAACTTGAAATTAGCAAAGGAATAAGTTTCATCTTAAAGTAATCTTTCTGATGTTCTTTCCAACCCAGCAGTCCATGTAAGATTAAATTCTGACACACCTAAATTCAAACAACATTGTTTTTCAAAGTTGTTTCTATGAAGACCATAACTTAATCCTTTACCCCCTAAGGCAAACTGCAGATTTTCCCAAATTGGCAAATAAAGACACTCTGCCTGTGTACAATATCCCATTTGAAAGCCACTAATCAACTTATTTAAGAATTGACATCAGCAGCTGTGAAGGAGGTAGACATTTTGAGAGAAATTGCTTTAAAATGGGAAAATGAATGACTTCAAAAATGTATCAGTCTTCTACTATATTAGGTATACCCCTAAACTATAGCTTATTTAGCAGCTCTTAGTGCATAGCTTGATATGAAATAAGTCTTGCATTCCATTTGCATCCCGAAAAAGGAACTAAAAACTTCTGGGAGTGGTCAACCATGTCTTGGATGGGAGGGGGTCAAAATTTTATGACTTCAATGAGCAGATCTTCACAAGATAATTTTCATGGCAAAAATTCATAGAAACTATCAAATATTCACAAATTTATGACCTTGTGTGCCAATATGCACTCTTAGGGGGTAAAGGGTTAACCCAATAAATGCTGCTTAGGTAGTATGTGAAAAATATGGGAAACTTGTGAGAACCTGGGTTTTAACAACCATATTTGAAGCATCAACATACACTAGTTGCTATACAGGGTAGGAGCTTGCTACCTTTTCTTATTGGTTGGCCATTGTGTCTTAGAGTGTGGTTTAAAAATCAGGTAAGAGCCTGCCCTTCTATTTGAAGGTACATACAGTGTCACAAGTCAGATAAGAGCAGATCATTAAGTTTTGAGTCACCTGTAACCTTGACTCTCACACCTGTAACAAACTTGTTACTTTGTGGGTGAATTACATCAACAAAGGGAAATCTGAATATCACATGTCTAATAACATATACAGTGAAGCCATCAACGAGGAAAGCTTCCAATATTAAACCTCCAGTCGCACTTGGCATTTATTTTACTGTCAACCATCAAGCATTCTTACAGTAATATGTTTATAAAAAAGCTGTCCCCATATTAGTTTTCTGGTGAAACTGCTTTCTT